AAATAGCAACAAACAGTAAATTCTTAGACAAGGGCTTAACAACCTCATGATCAAATGTAACAATTTTCACATAAATTAAATTTTCATATATACTGATTTTAATATGTCCAGACCCGAGCCACAGCCATGCTCAAGGCCACTCTCCACACGCTCGGACGAACCTCATTCAGGAAGGAACTATAGAGAAACCCAGGTATGCAGGAACCATGGCTGAGATCTCCAGGCCTGCTCAGATCAGGGCTGGGCCTCCTCCACCCAAACCCCCAGTTTTCCAGTAGCTTAGAAGTCACACCCACAAACTGCCCCCAGTGCCATGTAATCTCACCAAGGGCCAAGATCCAGAGACGATAAGCCACAAAAGCCTCCATCCCTCTCAGAGAGCCCAACAAGCTATCAAGAGTATTCCGCCCATGCGGCAGAGCATAGCAAGCTATTCGATATGCCAAAAACAGTAACAATGACGGGTCTCATTCCCCTGATCCTGAAAGAGCCCCAAATATGCCATTGAGCTACACTATCATGCAACAGGGACGAATGGAGACATTACTGGCAGCCGCTCAAGCAACTTATTGAACAATGGGATGACAAACTATTGATTTTAATATTAGAGTGCTGTTATCTAATCAATTTCAACTCTAGAATTGTACCAACAGTTGTGGCTTTGTCTTCATTAAAATAAATTTTTTAAAAAATTTTAAATAGAAATCTATGTTCAAGTTACATTACACCTTTTTATGTGTCAGTACAGTATAAGATACTTATAAGAGAATACTTTTATTATCTCTCATAGTCTTTTTACTTCTTTTTGCATTTACTTATTCATGATATGAACATCAAAATTAAAGTTGCTAGATGTCACGGTGACCATCCTGTTGTTCGTCGATTGCCTCGAGCAGGCCCCAGTAACGTCTCCTTCATCCTAGCCCTGAGATTTTTAAAAAAGTGCCATATTCAAGGCTCTTTCAGGTTTAGGAGAATGAGACCCATCATTGTTACTGGTATTTGGCATATTGGGTACCCCACGGGGAGTTTGCCAGACTCTGCCGTGTGAGCAGGTTACATTCGGTAGCCTGCCAGGTTGTCCAAAGTAAGAATGAGATAATAAGGGTTTTGGGTCTTGGCCATTGACGGGATTACACGGTGCCAGGGGGCCAGTTGGTGGGTGTGACCCCTGCCTGCTGGAATATGGAGGATCTGGGTGGAGGATGCTCAGCCCTGATCCGAGCAGGCTTGGAGATCTCAGCCCCAGGACCCGCATGCCTTTGTTCCTCTGCCAGTACCTTCATGCGTGTAGAGAGATTTATATAGATGTATAAATTTAAAAAAAGGACACCAAGTTAAATCTAAATTCATAGAATGAGTAATTTGCATAATAACTATATTTCTTATAATATTTAGAGATATCTATAGTTAAAAGTAGCAATACTTGAAATTCAAACTTAACTGGGCATCCTGTATTTTATCTAGCAATCATACTCAGAATACATCATAGTGGTTTTTCATTAGATAGCTAATTATCTTTTAAGAAATGTTAATAACTTCAAGACTACAGATTTATATATTTATACATGCAGTTACTATTCTGTTATAGATAATTTACATGCAGCTACTTTTCTGTGTTACTATTCTGTATTACAGATAATTTAAATGAAAAAAAATTTAAGACTGACAGAATTTTGTTGCTACTTTATCTTTTTATCTTTAAACAATATCTTTATTGTTTGTTTGTTTGTTTGTTTTGGGTCATTCCCAGCGGTGCTCAGGACTTGCTCCTGGCTCTGGGCTTAGGGATCATTCCTGAAGGACTCAGGAGACCATATGGGAAACCAGGGAACCAACCCTAGTTGGCCATGGGCAAGCTAAGCGCCCTACCCACTGTACACTAGCTCTAGTTCCTGCCATCAGAAAAAAATAAAAATAAAAAAAGAATTGAACTCTAGAAATAAAATCTACAACATTTAAATTTCACTGAATAGGATTAATGGCAAATTGAAATATATGTAGGAAAAAAGATTTAAAAGAAGTGTCACTGATCTGTGGTATAGTTAGTGACCTAGTATTTGTATAAATGGGATCGCCAAAAAATAGAAATAGTCAAAAAATTGGGATTAATAATGACAAAAAGATTCCAAATTGATGAAAATTTTTACATGTATGGATATAAGAATTTCAATGTACCCTAAATAAGGAAACATAAGGGAAACCACCTGAACTTTTGAACATTTGGAATATAGATATAGAACAGCTTTTATGTCTTTACCTGTTAATTCTAACATTGATGGAAGTTTTGGGTCCACTTTTCCTTAATTGACATTTTTCTTTATTAAGGATTGGCATTTGTCACTTTGTCATTTTTATTTGCCAGTTGTTATTTTCCTAAATCCGATTGAGTCTCTAGCTCTATCACTGTTTATGAGAAATCCAGGGTGAGGGGGCAGAGGAACATGCTAAATATCACCACAGGTATGCAATCAGCAAAATGCCGAAGTCAGAAACTCCAGAGGACCAGCTATCGGTTTCTTTATCATATATATAAAGTATCGAATTAAAAATTTGAAACATTTAACTAAAAAATGAAATGTGAGGACATTGTTTAAATCCTGAATTGAAGGCATAAACTACATAAAAACTCTCATGAAAAGACTGAAAAATTTTAAACACTGACTAGATGTTAAGAAATAATTAAATTTTGAAGATATCTGATCTTTGTATTTTTTTAAATGTATTTTAATTTTTAGATATATAACAAAATACTTGTGTGTAAAATAATACTACTTGTGACTTACTTCAAAATAATCTAGGAAAGAAGCAAAGAGATTATACAGGCACTTGCCTTGCAGGTGGCCTACCCATATTCAATCCCCTGGACCACATCTTCTAAGTCCTCCAGGATCCTTGAGCACAGAGCCAGGAATTAACCCTAGGCACAGCCTGATATAGCCCTACCTTCCCTCCCAGCCCCCAAATAATTATTAAAAATAACAATCCAGGGTTAGGAGTGCGTAGTAACTAATTTGTTATTTTACTTTTGCAGTATTTGACATTTTACCATAGTTAAAAAATTACGGTTGGGGAGAGAGCCCAAGATCTGGGAGTACAATTTTTGCATATGGACTCTAGTCTTCATTCCCTGAAGATTTACTATGCAGCACTCAAAATAAAACAAAATATCCAGATGTCACTTTCTCTGAAAAGCGGTGCTTCCTCGCCTCTCCATACGTGAAACAACCAACTGAGTCCAGACCCCACATCCAAACAAATTAAACATACACTTATTTCCAAATCTTTTTTCTTAATTCCAACATAAGCCCCTTGAGAGCAGTGATTGTATCTTACTGATTTTCTGTGATTTCTAGTCCTCCCATTCAGAACAGAGCCAGTGTGCCCAATAAAAGCTGGTGACTTGGAAACTCTCTAGTCTCAATTCACTCTCGAACTGCATTGTAAAGAATCAAATTTACAGTTAGGTATGAGTCTTTTATAAACTCAAGCTATACTGAATATAAATGTATGGCAAAGGAGCCAACAGTGTCCTGTTTTAAAAACAAAGACAGCAAGACAAACACATACCCCTTCCCCGCCCCCCCCCCCAACCTTCAGGCAATAAAATTGTCAGGACACACCAGGAATCCACAAGGACTGGCTGGGTCAGCAGTTTTGGAATTGTTTTATAGAACTATAAACAACTATGTTCTTCCTCTTCTTACAGGTATGTGTTACACTATGACCTCTGAGAAGAACTTTGTCCTGGCCTGAGTTTCTCACAGGGGTATTCCACGCCTCAAATTCAAGATACTGTGACAGGCTTCTTTAAAATTGAAAAAGTTTAAACTACAATGATCTGTCCCCAAGGCATGTAGGCATCTCACAGAGGATATCATTTAGCTGTTGGGAAAACTGATCTTGAACAAAATTTTTCAGTAAGCAGAAAGAGTTTGGGGGTGACATATATATATATATACAAATATGTATTTTTGATTATATATATATATACACATTTCTTTTCTTGAACATTAAACACACAAGAAACTTATTAGATCGATTATATGCCTTGTCCTGCAGTAATGACATAGAGGGAGGACAGACAGCCCAGGTGCCCAGAACATTCCTCACAGGACACCTAATCCTAGGCTATTTTTAAGTCTTTACATACTTCCCGTCCCCAACTCCTAAACGGCCTTACTCATGCGATTCAGTCTCCTGATTGACTTTCATTGCCATCTGCATGCTTATGCATTTCCTGACTTACCTTTTAAATTAAGGACTTTGCGCACTCTTACTGGAAGTCCCTAACTCTGGGGGATTTCCAGTTTTCGGATACGTTCTTGGAGTGTGAATGAGTGCGGCCAGATGAGCTCTGAGCTCCCGTGGCAATCCCTGACTGCGTCCTGCCAGCCACGGACGTTGTTCTGTTTTAACTCAGACCGTTTTTACCGGGTGTTAAACCTAGGGGGGTGGTCCTAAGGCTGTCTGTTTCCACAATTCCCGGCACTGTGCACTGGCTCTCCGTGGCTTCCTGTATTTGCACGTGGCAAACAACCTCTCTTCTTTGCCACCGCACGCCAACTCGCTCACCCGCTGGCTTTGCAAGGGCAGGTGGCACAGGTGCCAGCCCGGACCCGGCCGAGGAGGGCAGCGGGCAGTCCGGGTGGCCAAGGACGCGCGGGCGGGCCGCAGCATCGATAACGCTAACAACGAAGCTAAGGACGACGAGCCGAGCAGCCCAGGCCGGAGACACTCGCGGGGTCCCGAACGCGGGGAAGCGCTCTACACGGCGTTCCCGCCGAGCCGCCGTAGCCGGGACCGCACGCGCGACGACCCCGCGACTCTCGCGGCGCCCCTGGCGGCCCCCTTCGAGGCGCCGGCCGGCGGGGGCGGGGCCCGGCGGGGGCGGGGCCCGGCGGGCGGGGCGGGGCCCGGCGGGGGCGGGGCCCGGCGGGCGGGGCGCAGGGCCCGTGGCCCTGGGTGGGGACGGGCGGGAGGAGGGGGCTGGCGGGCGGCTGGGCGGGGCGCGCGCGGGTCTCGGCTCCTCACGCGCCGCGCCCGTAGCCCCAGCTCGCGCGCCGCGGGGAAGCCCGGCGGCCAGCGCCGTCCGCGAGCCCACGCCGTGGCCGAGGAGGAGCCGCGGGCGCCCAGGTAGGCGCGGGGTCGCCCGCCGCGCGGCCTGGCAGCCCCGGAGCGCCCGCGGGCCGGCCCGAGGGGGGCGGCGAGGCCGGGGGGCGGCGCGCGGAGGCCCGGCGGGCGGGGCTGGAGGCGGGGACCGGCCTGGGAGCGGGCCGGGGCGTCTCTCGGTGCGGCCCGCCGAGGCCCGGGCCCGGGCCCGCCGGGAAGCCGCGGAGAGCGCCCGCCCCGGGGACGCCGGCCGAGGAGGGAAGCGGGGGCCGGCCCGGTCCCGCCCCTCTCGGGGGGCTCGGGAGCGCGTCCCGGGGACGCTTGGCAGAGCGGCCGGCGCCCGCGTCTCGGAAGAAGTGAGAGTCGCGTCGCTGGGCGCTGAGGCTTCATTTTCCTTTCCCGCCCCCTGCCCGGGCTCGGGCGCGCTGGCCAAAGAAGGATGTGTCACCCGCTCGGGGCGGCGGGCGGGCGGGCGGGCTCCCCGGCCGGGACGGGGCGCCGGGCAGCACCTGAGAGCAAGGTGGAAGGGGGCCGGGCAGCCCCCACCCCACGCCCTCCCGCCCCCTTCCCGCCGCCCCCGGGGGGCTTTTCTCCCGGGGGACCCTCCCGATGGAAACCAGCTGGCCCGGCGCGGAGTCGGGGTTGCATCTGCAACCTCCCGCTGTGCCTTCGCACCGTTCCCAGCCCTGTCACTCTGCTAAGGCTGTAGGGAATTCTACGCCGTTTTCTGTAAGAAATGGTGAATTGCCGCTCGTAAATGAGACTTCTTAGGAGAGAAAATGGTCGGAGAACACGAAATGAAAATTCTTCACACGTCAGCCAAAAATAAAAAAAAAAGAAGAAGAGTGATTTGTACTGCCTTCCAGAATCTCAGAGTGTTCTTCTGCAGATGTACAAAACATCCCCCAAACCATTGGTGCCAGGCATTTTTCTTTGTTCTTCATTAGTCTCAGTCCTCAGTTTCTTGTAAACAGCACCCGGTGCTGAGACCCTAAGAATTGCCATACTAGGTCAGAGCCCGCGCATCCTGCTCAGAGGGCAGCAGGCTTGTGTCGGATGCCGCGAGGAACGGTTTTCTTTCTTCAACCATTAGCAATTATCTCGGTTTCATTTCTTTCCGTGGTATCCGTGACTTCTAATGAAAGCCTTTTTAAAATCCTATGGCCACTCCTAATTTATGCATTCAGTTCATTCACAATTGCATCCAAATGGCTCCCCTCCCCTATCCTCCTTGGCAGAAGCACTTACAGCATGAGATACTCGTGAAAAAATGTGGATCTTTTATACAGTCTGGGAGCTCAGAAATTGAGGTCAAGGGAAACAAAGTTTTTCATAAAGTGAAAAGCTTTGTAGAAATCTTTAACCTGTATTAATCTGGCTGTTGAGTTCAATACTAACTATATCCACTAGCTTTCTGAATGTTAACCAGTAAAAGATTTTATTTGTGGGGGTAGGAGGCAGCATATGGGTTAGGGTGCTCAGCACTGACCAGCTTCAGTCCGGGCTTTCTAAGCATCCCCAGAGGTGAGCCTGGTCCCTGTATGGTAGAGTCCAAGAATCTTCACATCACTGGTCCTTGCACTCAACCCCAGGGGAGTAGCACTGGGAATGACTCTGGACCCCCTGCACAGGGCTTGAAGAAAACTCCAACCCCAAAAATAAAAAGATTCATTTGTATGGCTAAATCATTGCATATTGTAAAATGCAGCTTTTTGTGGAGAAGTGATTTAATCTTGTTTTTGTTTGGGGGCCACACCCTCAGTGCACACAGCTTACTACTGGCTCTGCTCAGGGATCACTTTTGACAGGGCTCTGGGGGCCTACCACAACTGTTATCAGTATTGCATGCAAGCAAGGCAAGTCCCCTACCTACTGCATTACCTCTCCACGGTGAGGGTGATTTTGTCTTTATCTGACTTTAGTCTGAATGAACTGGTAGGGCGTTCGCCTTACAAGCGGCCAACATGGCCGACCCGAGTTCGATTCCTCCGCCCCTCTCGAGAGCCCGGCAAGCTACCGAGAGTATTCGATATGCCAGACACAGTAACAACAAAGTCTCCAATGGAGACGTTACTGGGCCCGCTCGAGCAAATCGACGATCAACGGGAGGGCCTTTACCTTTACCTTTACCTTGATCTTAGTGTTTAGCCCAAAGAATGAAAGTTTCGTTACAGCAAAATTAAAGGATCTGGGGCCGGAGCCATAGTAGAGCAGGTAGGGTGTTTGCCTTGTACAGGGCCGACCAAGGTTCGACTCTAGGTATCCCATATGGTCCCCCAAGTACCACCAAGAGTAATTCCTTAGCATTGTCAGGTATGACCCAAAAAACAACAACAACAACAAAAAAGAGAGAATAAAGGATCTGATTGATTTTGGAGGATGGGGTACTTAAGGGGCCTTCCTCTTTGAGCCATATCTTGCTTCTAAACTCTTCAGAGGCACCTTGTTACTTATGGCAGTCACCTTAACTGACCCCTGCCACCCCTCAATGCGTAGCCAAATTTTATTTTCTGAGGCTTTTCTTTATCCTCCCTTCTCCAAACCCTGCCCCACAAGCAAAACAAACCAACCCACCTGATACCCTGGAATCAGTCGATCACCTTTACTTATTACCCTCCTTTAAATCAGATATTTTCAACCTTGGTCCTGCTGACATTTTGGAGCAGATAATTCCTTTGTTGTGGAGGGCTATCTGGTATGTCATAGGGTGTTGAGCAACATTTTCAGCCTTTATTTATAGATACTAATAGTTTACTACCACCCCTCCAGTTGTGACAATCAAAATGTTTACACAGACACTCCAGGTGGGGCAATCAAAACTGCTTCCTGACATTCCCAGATGTTGTGAACCACTATACAAACTTAGACTACTAACTTAGCTCCAGTGACACTGTATTGTTCTCCCTTGCTTTATGTGTCCTTTTTCTACTATACCCAGCTTGAGGTCAGGAGTGTTAACAGATATCTGAAGGAGAGTTTACCCTCAGCCAGACTGGTTAAGGTCTGGGATTACAATAGTACAAGCAAATGATGACATTGTCAGATACTCCTGTATAATTACACAATGACCTCATTACAATTGTGATAAAATTTGGAAGTATTGGTTGTGCTGAAAACATCAATCGCTTCCTGAACTGTTTGGAAACTAAGGAAAGTTTCCTTTGGAAATGACCTTTAAGGTAAGATGAACTTTGAGAGATTAATAGAAGTCACTAAATGAAGTATAGAATTATGAATCTAGTAGAAGAAATGGGCCTTTTATGGGAAGTCAGTGGCTAGTGTGGCTATAGTATGCATTGTGATAGGAACATAGTGATGATACAGAAAAAAAACCTTAGAAAGTAGGAGAAGGCTATTAACAAGCACTTCTTGTTTGTTCTTGGGACACACCTGGCAGTATTGGGGCAAGGGAAAGAGGGTAATCTAGACTTGTGCTCAGGGGTAGTTCCCACTGATGCCAGCGGCCATGTGGTACCAGAGGTCATGAGCGGTACTTAGTTCAGTCAGTTTATTGGAGTCCCAGGAGGAACTTAAAATAGTAGAGCGCCTGCCCCATACTGTCGGGATGTTTATGATGGGTTCTGTCCCTGTCACTTTCCCCATGTCTTTCAAAGGGATAGCCTTTTATTTACCAATCTCATGTATTATTCTAAATATTTTCTGTGGGCATTTAATTAAATGCAGATTATTGTTAACACAAACGGCAGCATATTGTATACTTTTTTTATTTCCTTGTTCTTTTAACAGTGTCTTAAGAGTCTTTCCATTTTGGTTTATAAGTTCCTCAGTTTTTAAATTAACTGCACGATGTCGTATGGCTCCAACACAGATTATTTAACTTTCATTATTGATGAAAATTTACACTTTCCATTGATGTATTGTAACAGTAGTACTATATACATGATAGTATGGGTATATATTTCTAGGATAAATTCCTGTAAGTGAAACTGTTGTGTTCAGTTTGTATACACATATTTGTAAATATTTGTGCTTATGAAAAGGAAATCACTTGGGACTGGAATGTGACTCAAATGATGTGCTAAGCCCTAGGTTCAGTTACTGTAATACCCCTCCTTCGCCTCCCACTCCCCCCCCCCCACCCCACACCACAGCACCTCTGGGTATGGTCCTGGTAGCCCCACCGCAGCTTTTGTTGTTGTTGTTGTTGTTGTTGTTAAAGCCTGTTGTACGAATGACTTGGATGTCATTGGTGGTGGGAAATGGACACTGCTGGAGGCATGGGTGTTGGATCATTGTATGACTGAAACCCGACCATGAACAACTTTGTAACTATGTATCTCATGGTGACTCAATTAAAATTAATTAAGTTTTTAAAATGACCTTGCATGAAAACAGTAAACGTGGGAGGAAGTTGACCCTAATCACAGTAACTCTGCACTGTAAGATCTACTGTGATTCCCTCATATTGATACTGTAAGGCCCTAACAAGTAATGTGACTTTATTTGAAGATAGTCTTTAGTAGGTAATTAAGATTAAGTGAAGACATAAAAGTAGTATTGATTTTAACAGATTGGTGACCTGAAATAAAAGAGAAAAAATGATGGGTCATCTGTAAACAAGAGTTCTCACTAGAAACTGATTCTGCTGCCCTTCATATGAGACTTCTAGGCTCCAGAACTGTTTGAAAATTAATTTCTCTTGTTTGAGCCAGTCTATGATGTAGAACCCTAAGTCTTTGAATATACTATGGAAAAGTTAAAAATATGGTAGCTGGAACCAAAGTGGTAGTGAAAGAGATGGAAACAGGAGACATATTTACAAGGCATAATGGTCAGATGTGGTGATTGATATGCTATAGTGGGGAGAGAGGAAGAAATAAGTGTTCAGAATGAGTCCTAAGGTTCTCACTTCCTTAGCCAGATGAATGGTGTGGTTACACGAGATAGAGAATACTGGAGGAATAAATTATTTTGAGATGTTCAAATCACAGTTCACTTTGGAACTGGTGAGACTTTCAAGTGTAGCTGTCACATAAGTATTTCATGATTAAAATTCACAGCAC